GAGGTTCCACCTTTAAAAAAATCCGTCAGGGAATCAGCCAGCTGAGATGCCCAGCCTCAAAGCCAAGTTCTTCCTCTGTGTGAGGGACTCTGGTGTTTGGGTGCCACCTAGTAAACGTTAGCAACAAACCAGGCTATTAGGTGGATGGGGCATACCCTACATTCCAGAACTTGTACATGAATCAACTGCTTTTTAATAAACTACATCATCCTTAGAGTCCGAACGTGGATCTAAGAGTGTCTGCACTCTGTCTAATGGAAATTTCCCCTTCATAATTTGGAGGAAGCATCAAGGCTAAGAATAACTTTCCATTATTGTTATTACTATGTTCGTGTCTTAGCTGGGACGCCTGCCACTGCCCTCCTCCCTTTGTACAGTATGCTGCGCTCACCAGGAGCTGCTGATAAATGAAATACCTTGCTGAGTATCCACCCGTTTAAAATGGTACCATCTTTAGTGGGGTAAGCAATAGGGAGTTACTCAAAAATGAAGCTCACTTGAGTGTCTTGAGAGGTAGTAGCCTGACAAACAGTGCCTCTGCCCTCTGCAGAGAATGACTGTCGTCACACCGATGAGGAACCATCTCCGCTGTCCTTCTCCCGGCACACATGGCAGTCACACCTGCCACTGCCTCTCAGCAGGGATAGATGAAGAAATGAGGGGCAGAACAAGTGCAAAGGGTCAGTTGCTCCAGAGCCCTAATGCGTGTTCTCACAATTCTGGGCAGTCGTTTCCGTCTTAGAACAACTTTTTTTTTTTTTTTTGGCAGAGTCTCATTCTGTTGCCAGGTGCCAGGCTGGAGTGCAGTCGCACCTCCCGGGTTCAAGCAATTCTCCTGCCTCAGCCTCTGGAGTAGCTGGGACTACGAGCATGTACCAGCACACCCAGCTAATTTTTGTGTTTTTTAGTAGAGACAGGGTTTCATCATGTTGGCCAGGATGGTCTTGATCTCTTGACCTCGTGGTTCCACCCGACTTGGCCTCCCAAAGTGCTGGGATTACAGGTGTGAGCCACGGTGCCCAGCCGCAGAACAAGTTTGTAAGGTGGAGCATGGTAACAATGCCACACCGCACCACCCACCTCACCACCCGCTTACTCCTGGGATTCAGCAGCTGTGGGCAGAGGCTGTGTGCCCTGGACAGGTCACACTGGTATTCAACTCTGTTGTCCCCTACTCAGCCACAGGAAATGGTGTTTGTTTTAGTGTGGGGAATTTTCAGCTTCCCAGGCTGGGCTTGAGAGCCTGCACATCCATGTTGGGTTTCCAGCTTTCCTGATAACGTTATCACTCTGTTAGAGCTTTCCAGCTCAGCCCTAGCCCGGCTTTCATTAATCCACTTCGCCAGGATTCTGACCTTGTCCTTGACAATCTGGACAGGTCAGCTTCTCCCAAAGGCTCTGAGTTGCTCCCACCTTCATGCTATTTCCTCCCACCCTTTACCTCATCTGGGTGGGTATTTGGGGGAGTGGGGAGAAGAAATGCATAGTGAGGAGTGGTCACTAAAGACAGAAGTTATCATTAGAAAACGTTGGGCAGTTTATAGTTTTTTCAGCAGCAAAATAGAGATAGTAATTATGTAGTATGAGGGGAGGTGGTTGTGAAAGTTAAATGAGTTCACATATATAACTATAATTGTCTGGCAGAGGGAGGGAGAGAGAGGGAAAGGGAGAGAAACTGATGTATGACTAGTTGGATATAAAAAAATGCATCAAAAATAACATTAGTGTTTTAGTCTTTAATGCTAAAAGGAGGTGGTCATGAATAAAAATTGTATGTCTTTTTTTTTTTTTTTTTTTTTTTTTTTTT